TCAGACGTGATGAGTCAGCTACAGATATGTAGGCACTGGACTATGCCATCTGATATGCCTAAAGATGTGATCCTGATGTCAATATGAAGACTACAGATGGAAAGTAAAGAGCTGAGGTTGGGGCAACTCACCTTAGGCTGTGAGTTGTCTCCATAGGATTCTGATATATAAGAACTTATGCACTGGAGTGTATAAGCAATACTTCTGCCTTCCATAATCTTGCATATTTTATTTTGTAAATGAAGCATATACATCAGAAAACTTCCAGTGATCTGTTTTCAAGGGAAGCCAAATCTAGTTAAGTCCTACAGAACACCTCCCATCATGCTGAAGACTTCGGAGTGGATGTGTGGCCAGCTTCTATGCCCGCTTTTCCCCATAACTCAGCTAGATCTTCATGTATTCAGTACAAATGTCCGAGACAAAGCTTCTTTATCACATTTACTTGGACATACTTACAAAGCTCCTACAACAAGGAGCCTTGCCTCTTGGGTTAATAGTGAGTACTTCTTCAGTCACTAGTGGTCAGTTCCAGTGTCCTCATCATCTTGAAGTTGGGTGCCTCTCAGTGACAGAGTAGTGGACCTAAATCCTAGATTTCTTTGTTGGCTGGAATGGAGTTTGTGCAGCTGAGGCTCTCATGCAGTGGAAGCTAGGATTCTATCTCATCAGTACTTTGGCAGCCCATATTGTCCATATGATGATAGACTTAAAATAGAGAGGGGCATTCAAATCCTCTTAATGTTGATTCTGTCTGGAAAACAGTACTGTTTGGGACTTTTATCAAGAAAACAAATAGGGCTTATATTTCTAACAGTCATATCAAAACATTTCAGGCTGTACACAGACAACCAAACATAACAAAATCATTAATGAGTTGAGTGATACAAGAGTACTTTTTGTTCCAAGACATTTCTCATGAAGGTCGGATTTGACTTACTTGTTCTGTTTCTTGGGGGTACCATCAACTGGGCCCATTCTGCATCATCCCCCCCATCTCCTGGTAACCAGTCATCCCCACTCCCACTCCGTACTTCTCTCATGCCTCTCCCACGTAGGATATGCAAATAGATTTTACAAACTTCACAGCTTAAAAATCCTCCAACTCTTCCCCATCACACACACACAAACCTTTATACTATCCCTAGGGTAAGGCACATGCTAGACGTTGTCCTTGACATCATCAAATAAATCATTTTCTTGGGAGAAATGCTCTGCACAATTACAGATTGAGCAGCAAAGTCTGCCCCCAGTGACTTTTTTGGTAGGGTTGGGAAAAGGCTCAGAGAATTCTTATCCAACTTCTGGAGATCACTCATCAAAAGCCATTTCCTACTTTTTCCAAGACAAATGTGCCTTGGATAACCCCAAGTCTCATGCTTCTGAAATTCAGTTCAGCTACTGAGCTATTATCTGAAAAGAAGTCATAGACACTACTGTCTGCTTCTGGATATCACTCATCAAAAGCTGAAACTCATAGAAATAAGCCATTTCCTACTCTTTCCAAGACAAACATGCCTTGGATAACCCCAAGTCTCAGGCTTCTAAAATTCAGTTCAGCTACTGAGCTAGGGACGTGGTGGCGCTGTGGGCTAAACCGCAGAAGCCTGTGCTGCAGGGTCAGAAGACCAAGCAGTCGTAAGATCGAATCCATGCAATGGAGTGAGCTCCCGTCGCTTGTCCCAGCTCCTGCCAACCTAGTGGTTCGAAAGCATGTAAATGCGAATAGATAAATAGGGACCACCTCGGTGGGAATGTAACAGCATTCCGTGTCTAAGTGTCATGTGACCACGGAAGATTGTCTTCGGACAAACGCTGGCTCTATGGCTTGGAAACGGGGATGAGCACCGCCCCCTAGAGTCGAACACGACTGGACAAAAATTGTCAAGGGGAACCTTTACCTTTACTGAGCTATTTTCTGAAAAGAAGTCATAGACACTACTGTCTTTCTCCCGATTCCAAGACGTAATGGCAGAACATGATGCATCGGTGTGGAGATATTTCTGCAGAAATCTGTTATCTTGGAACACAGGATGAAAACCACTGGGGCTCATCTTCATGAATGGTAAAGAAACACCACTAAATAGATATATATGAATATCTTTCATCAAGGAAAGAACAATTTATTTTATCACTTTTTAACATCATAAATCAACATCATACAACAGTCTTCAGCTTAACAGAATACTTTTTTAAAGGAGGAAAAAGCCCCCAGTGATTACTTGCAGAATTATATATATTTCAAGATCCAAAAATACATTGCATATAGAAACTAGAAAATACTTCTGTAGGGAATGGTTTTAAAAACAAAACAAAAAACAAAACTCCTCAAAAAAACCCAATTTTATAAAATATTCTGCAAGTGTTGCAGGAAGATTTATCAATGAACCTTCTAAAAAGCACACAGGATCAAACTACATGATAAAGTTACCACAAGAGAAGTGAAGCTCATTTAAGAAGTAAAATATCTGTTTATTCTTATACAAGCTTTCCTCCTCTGCACATACTGAAAATGGCTTGTCCTTGCTTTGTGATTGGTCACTGGGGGGCAAGCATGGGTTTACTTTGCATGTCTGATTGCTCAGGCACAGAACATTGAAATAATTGTGCCCTTAGAGAGAAGCTTCTTAGCTTCTAAATAGAGAGCTTTTGTTTCCCTCACACTGAAAGAAATTAGCTTCTTTACCACGGTTTGTTAAATAAATTAAAAAAGGGTATCAGTGCTTCTTTTTAATGCTACAACAACCAGGTTATGCTGCTCTGTTTTAAATCCCTTTATAGTTTTGTATAAGGTGAGCCACTATACGACAATAGAAAAGGGCCTACAGTGGTATGAACATGTCAGAGACTTGGGTCAGCTGCTATTGAAGTCTTATGGCCAAATTTCTACTAACTTCAGTAGCATCAAAATAGCCTTTTATAAACCTTTGGATTATCTGGTTTTCAAATTCTGTTTTCAAGTAAGGTTTTTCTAGATAGATTTTCTTTCCAGCAATCCCTTGCAGAGCAGCAATGAAACTTCCATGGATTGCAGAAGCTTCTGGAAAATAGTCAGAGGGAAGACCTTTTGCTAATGAAAATAGCCTTCCTCAAACAAATGCCCTTCTAATGGGCTGAACTGTTTGGGATGGGATTTTTAGGCCTTCATATCCCATAATATTTCATTCTGGGTGTACCATCTGACAGACAGATCCCTTACAGACACCTATCCATGTTTCACCTGGATGAAAGGTTTATACTAGAAGGCTTTGAGGCCTAGCTAGGCCTATGCTAATGAAAATAGCCTTCCTCAAACAAATGCCCTTCTAATGGGCTGAACTGTTTGGGATGGGATTTTTAGGCCTTCATATCCCATAATATTTCATTCTGGGTGTACCATCTGACAGACAGATCCCTTACAGACACCTATCCATGTTTCACCTGGATGAAAGGTTTATACTAGAAGGCTTTGAGGCCTAGCTAGGCCTAGCACGGCCTAACGCATCCCATAATACTTCATTCTGGGTGTACCACCTGACAGACAGATCCCTTACAGACACCTCTCCATGTTTCACCTGGATGAAAGGTTTAAACTGGAAGGCTTTGAGGCCTAGCTAGGCCTAGCACGGCCTAGCTTCCTCTTCAGAGAAAATTTTCCCTGCTAGCAGTGGGGAAGGAACAGGAAGCATGGGTGGAGCTAGGCCTAGCTGAGCTCCAAAGCCTCCCAATTGAGGCCTTTGTCCCAGGTGAGCAACAGGCAAGTATTTGGATGGGATCATCCAATGGGACCATCAGAGATGGGATCTATAGTTCAAAAAATCCAAACCATTCATTTATATGAACTACACCTCTCTCCTTTCCTAGCCAGCATAAGAAAGATTGGCACAAAGCTTAGCAGAGTTACTGCCTTAGAGTACAACTCCGAAAATACCACAGCTGACAAAAAAGTAACTTTTCCATTGCCTGCAATATAGCTTGAAAAAGATCATGCAGTAAATCCAGTTTGCTGGTGAGCTTGAATTTTATCTGGAAATTCCAGTTTACAGATGATGAATGCTCATTTTAGAAGGAAAATGTATGGTTTCTAACTAGGGATCCTGAAATAAAGGTTCGTGGCTGAGAACCTTCTGTATTTGGACAACAAGAAGAGCTGAAGGGGGAAAATACATTATCTTTGTAAGGAAATCACATTTCCAGAATGGTTTGTGATGACAACAGATTTGTGATGTGAATCTATGAGTCACTGATATAAAGCCAATTGCTGGTCCCAAGTAGAGTAAATTCACCAGCTTTGGATTTTGTTGTTCAGTTCCACCTGTCCTTCTGATATGATGTCGCCAATCATGGTGGGTCCAGCTAATTAAAGACTTTGTTCCCCAACCCCAGGGGTACAGAACTTCAAATCATATCCCCCTGGCATGTGTTCTCTTTAAAGAGGTCCTTTTAAGTTAATAGCAAAGCTCTGTGGCCAATGATGATACTCCTGTTGCACAAGATGAGCTGTACAACAAGATGCTGGCCACTGAGCCAATGGGATTTATATAAATGTTGACTCCACGCTATGCTGAGTGGGGCTTCTGTAGATCACATAAGCAATTAAATGTAGACCGATTTGTCAGTTTTGGCCAGTTATGGAATTAGATTCAAGTGTTTTGGTCTTTTCAGAAAAAAAGCATATATTGATCCTGTCCCTTTGAGAACCAAGTCTAGCTAATTAACATTTGTTCCCATCTGATTTATCAAAGTATCGGGCTAGCATTATTAATTGGAGAGGAAGACAGAAGCAGAAATATCTCATAACATCTGTACTACAAACCTAAAGCATTTACTCTTCCAGGAACCAATGGGAACTATAACTCTGTGAAGGGAACTGTGATAGAGTTTAAAACAGAGTCTCAGTCTCATTATATTTTGGTTCTCAGGTTTCTTTGGGGGATAGCCATGAGGGCTAAATCACTAACAAAAAAGCCAATAGGAGTTTGTTGTGTAAGTTGTCCTTCATTTTTTGTTATAACCATCAATTCTTTTCAAAATGGCAGGCTTTTATTTTCGCCAACAGACACATTACATACATTTTTTGGTCTCAAGTTTATTTCTGAAGGGAGAAAAAAAAGAACAAAGGGAGAGAAGGAGAAAGGAAAGGAATACAAACCTGCAACCCAAATGTACAGACTGAAAACATGTACAAATTACATTAAACAACAACAGATTTAAAAGCAAAACAAAAACAAAAAACCACACACACCAACAATTGCATTTGTGACCGAGGTCAACTCGTTTTTAGTTTTCATCTTTATTTTTTTTAATACTGTGAGATATAGGTAAAAACATAACTCTGCATAATTTATACAGTAAGTTGCCCTCTGACCTCAATGACTCTCTGAGTAACGGACTGACAAACGCACAGCGTTCGTGAATCGGATATGTTTTTTGCAACTCCCAAAACTCTGGCAAAGCTTAGGAAGCCGCTGTCATTTATATTAGTTCCACATTGCATTCGTAAGTTACCTCTGTCCTTGATGCATTGTGATTGTTTCCTGGTCATGACTGTTTCTGGAGATATTAAGAAAACGGTGTAACCATATTCTCAAAAGGTCCTTTCAATGCCCTTAATTACCTTAAAATATACACATTTATGTATAGGAATATATATTCATTTCTCTCTTTCCAGTTGGGAGATAAAACATAAGCCTTTGTTGGCTTTAAAGCTAAGATTCCAGTTGGTGTATCCAAACATGGTCCTCATGATCGTTGAACTTTCTTTTGCTCCCCCAAAACCCCAGGGAGGAAATCTGTCATTGCCATTAGATCCAGAACAAACAAACATTTATCTTCTAAGACTCAAAGGTCTTGGTCTTTTTTCCCCCCTTTCTTTCCCAAAAGCCTTGTTCATGACAACATCTTGTCTAAGATCTGGAGTGTTAACCGTGGCAAATCCTGTAATACATTTACCTTAGTCCTAGAGAGTCCTAGAAATTAAGGTTTAGAACCACCACCAAATGCACAATACTGGCCCATCAGAGAATCCGACTGCCCATCAGAGACAGAAGAAGCAGGACTACAAAAATAAAAAAGAGTTTTTCTCCAATAATAATAATAAAAATATTAATAATAATATCCAGTTTTTCAGCGTTCTTCCCAAATAAAAAGTGACTGTCCATCAAAAAGTCCAGAGATATCCACGAATGGAAGAGAACATCCACTCAAACTGAGAAAGGCCACCAATGGTTAAAAAAAAAGAGATTGGGGAAGGAAAGCATCTAGTAGTAGCTGCCCAAGTGTGATGGCATATGGGAGTTAGCATGGCGTGGTACATTGGGATTTGGGTAAATACTTCCTGTAGGGGAAGTCCAATATGGTGACGCAGCTCCGAAAAAACTGGAAGAAGTGACAGGCATAGAAGAAGGGTGAGGAGGCACAAAGTTCATTTTCTGCTGGTGTGTGTGATACGAAGGCATGTACGAAAGATCTGAAGGGTATTTGTACATTGATGACTCGGTTGGGTGAGGTTGAAGAGCTTGGGCGATGCCGTGAAAGTCAAATTTATATGCATATCTCTTGCCGTGCACTTTGGTCATAATGTTCTTGTCGTAGTAATATCGGAGGGCTCGACTCAGCTTATCGTAATTCATGTTGGGTTTGCTCTTGCGCTCTCCCCAGCGTCTTGCCACCTCGTCAGGGTCGGTCATCTTGAACTCGCCATTAGTTCCTTCCCATGTGATACAGCTGGCATTCGAGCTGTCTGACAACAACTCAAGTAAGAACTGCCAAAGCTGGATTTGTCCACTCCCTGCAAAAAGACCCATGAAAAGGCCATGAAAGTCAAAATCTGTTCATTCATTCAAAATCTGTTCGTCTTCATCAACATATGCAGGCCAGCTGTCAAGGTCTATAGAGCTAAGGCCTTTTCAGTGATGGTCCCATATCTATGAATGTCACTTTGGAAATAACTAGCTACGGCTAACTAGTCATTGGCCAAAGTCCTCTTGTACAAATGGCACAATTTTTGGAGGCATATCACCCCTAGTTAAAAAATCACCATAGACATGACCAGTTGGATGCTGACTCATACAACTCATTATGCAACTGTTAATGTTTACAGAGATTTCTTAACTTAGGGCAATTTGCCTCCAAACGTTACACCATTTGTGCTATGTTACTATAACTAAGTAAGAGGATTTGGGCCACTTTGTAATTTTTTCTTTGCAATAAGTGGGAGGAGAGCTTTCTCAGCTGTAACACCCCAGTTATGAAATGCCTTCATCGCTATCAATAAACGTTCTTGACATCCAAAGATAAGAAACCTGAAAAATCTGGAGTTTGTAGGGGCATATAAACACTATTTAAGAGCCTCGTGGCGCAGTGGTTAAAACGCTGTACTGCAGCTAAAACTGTACTCACAACCTGGGGTTCAAATCCCAGGTAGCTGGCTCAAGGTTAACTCAGCCTTCTATCCTTCCAAGGTCGGTAAAATGAGTACCCAGCTTGCTGGGGGGACAATGTGTAGCCTGTATAATTAAATTGTAAACCGCCCGGAGAGTGCTTGTAGCGCTATGGGGCGGTATATAAGTCCAATAAATAAATAAATAAATAAATAAATTTAAAATGATACCTGTCCTCATACAGTCATGCTGATTTCAGGATTTTAGGGTATAAGAAGGAACCCTTTGCTTTACAGAGGGACTTAAGCAAAAGAAACATTTTCATTGGGATTCTAGGACTCGTACTTGAAAAATAAAAAAGGAAAGGAAAACAAACTTCCACAAACTCCGCACATTACCTAAACAGGATATACATTTATAAGTAAATCTCAGGCTCAGCTAGCAACCCGAAATTTATTTCTTTGCCACGGGACAACTAAACTGTGTATATCAAACTGGCTGAGATCAATTCTTCTGTGGCGAAAATTTGCTTAGACAAATGAGATTTCGATCACACCTACCTCTGGAATTCAATTCCAAGGGCATTCTTTCAAAGTATATGTATTTAGGGTTTTGGTATAAAGTCTTTCCAAGCCTTATGAAGCTTGGCATGGAATATGGAAAAGGGGAACTCTCCAAAAAAATGTATATTCAACAAGTCACTCCAAAGCAGTTCTGCGTCCAAGGGCAGTGGCCCATGAGCATACACAGAGGTAAGCTTTAATTGAGAAGAATGCTTCCTGCACAAAGGCACTTTCCTTTATGGTAAACCCCAGTTTTCTTCAGTATTTCATTGAAACACAACACAGTAAGCCTGGCAGCTGATACATAATACCATATGGTTGTATTTGAGCTGGCTGGACAGTTCAGTGATTTAGGTACTGTATCTGGCTGCGGAGCCAAAGGCCACAGGTTCAATTCCCCACCATGCCTCCTGTAAATAGAACCATCTTGTGTGGCCTTGGGCAAGCTGCACAGTCCCAGGGTACCCCCAGAAGAAGGGAAGGGTAAACTGCTTCTGAGTCGTCTCTACCTAGAAAACTGTGAAAAGGGTTGCCATAAGTCAGAATCAACTTGATAGCACACAGCTTTTATTATGATGGTTGTATTTATTTTATTTTATTTTTTTCTTAGCTGATCTTTATCCTACTGGATTCCAGTGAGGAATGCCATAATAAATTGCAATAACGTCTTTAAAAAGCATGAATACAAGGAGATTGGAAACCCATAAAACTACAGACACAAACTATGAAAGAGATAAGAAATGCCTAAATAAATAAAAAAGGTCCTGACCTTGACCTAAGAACTGGATAGAGATGTTTCTTCATAGATTTATGATACAAGTAGACTCACCTGGATTGGCTAAACGGCTGCTTGTGGGTCCTAAAATTTGATAGGGATCTAAGAAAAAGGAAGGGAAACAATTGATATTGTCCAGTCTACTGCATAGAATCGGGCTAATAAAAAGGGATATACTTTTTGCCCCCTCCGACATTACTACCAATATCCAGAGCAATATCTGTATTGTAGACTTACTCTTCTACTGGGTATGGTAGGATTTGAATCTCAGATGTTCTATATGAAAAATTTTGTACTCTGTTACTTTATTTTGCCCTATCTTTGGCCTCCCAATGGGTGACATAAGGTTGCTTCAGCCTGCTTTTTCAGAACTAGCACCCGAAAGATCTGAAGGGGTTTTAGGTTGGGTTGTGGAAGCCAAAGACTCAGCTGGACAAGAGTCTTTACATCAGGGGACGAGAACTGGATTTGAATTGTTTTCCCTTTCAGTCTCATGTTATTGGCCATGCTGGGCAGAGTGTCTTGAAGCTGAAGAACATCTTGTGGGCCAAAGGTTCTTCATCCATGCTGTGAATTTAATGCTGCCCTTAAGGAGACGGAGACATCAAAGGGTACTGACTGCTCACTACTACATCCAAATGCTAACTACTTTTTCTTGGTTTGGCTGGCTTCTGCTTCCCCCTGAAACCAGCAACATTGGGGGAAGGGGAATATTCAAGAGCATTACCTGGCTGAGTTCGCTGCTGCTCCACATTTTTGCCAACATTTTGTGTCCCTCCCAGAGGAGGACCTAGTAATAATGAAAAAAGGGAAATAGCTTAGACTGCAGGAAAAGACAGAAGTAGAAGAGAACAGGCACAGATGTATTCCAAAGTAATATCTCTAGGGCGACATTGTGTCTTTAAAAATCACAACCAGGCAGACAATTACACACGTCAGACCTGTTATTTGCCAGCTGGTTGTTGTGTGATCAGTTTCGCAACTGGGATGAACAGGCATGGTATGAACAAAGTGAAAAAGGACAAGGTACTAACAGCAAACTGTTAGTCCTTAAGTGACTTGATGGTACGTAACAAGAACAAAATGAGTTAAAGAGTCCTTTTTACCTTGGTGTGGGAGAACTTAATGGACACTGCCTCCCTTGTTCGTTATTCAGCACCCAGGACTCAAAATATTCCAAAAATGGCTTCTATGAGAAGCAACTGGCAGCCAATCTAAGCCATAAGACATATTATAGGTAAAGGCAAAGGTTCCCCTTGACAATTTGTCCAGTCATGTCTGACTCTAAGGGGCGGTGCTCATCTCCGTTTCCAACCCATAGAGCTAGCATTTGTCCAAAGACAATCTTCCGTAGTCACGTGGCCAGTGCGACTAGACACGGAACGCCATTTACCTTCCCACCGAGGTGGTACCTATTTGTCTATTTGCATTTTTTTGCATTTAGCATGCTTTCGAACTGCTGGGTTGGCGGGAGCTGGGACAAGTGACGGGGGCTCACTCCATCGTGTGGATTCGATCTTGTGAGTGAAGGTCTTCTGACCTTGCAGCACAGAGGCTTCTGCAGTTTAACCCGCAGCACCCCCACGTCCCTGTAGAAGACATATCAACTCACTTTTATTGTGGCTGGAATTCATGTTATTGCCCCATCCAGATCGTCTCACTGCATCGTATGAAGTGTCTAGTAAATGAAAAAGAAAAAGAAAGAAAAGTCAGTGGTTATGTCCAGATCAGGACCCTGAGAAAGGAAGCCAACAATGAATGGACCTCTGTCAATGGCTGAAGTGTGCCTACCAAGCCCTGTTTTTGTTACAACAGATAATGAAACAGGGAATGAATTTACTGATTTCCATACCTGGAAGAAGTACGAACACTCAAAGCACCCCTCATTTCCTACCTCTGCTTAGAAACAAAAGAGAGTCCAGCACATTTCTGATTAGAGGAAGATGGACATAACGCAGCAAGTTCATGCCAGATGGAAAACATCTGCAGTAGCTTGAGGGTGCTTTGATATATCTTAAACATCGAAGTCTCCAGATGGGCACAGGAAATCAATAAAAATGGATTGATGATGTGTGGGAAATTTCAGCACATGCAGAACCCTCTCCTCCATGAATTTGTCCATGCTAGGGCCGTATGATGGTGCTATAGTCAAACTGGTATGTCTCTGAAGACTTGAACTAAGAAACACAATGTAATTCCCTTACAACTGAATGCAATAAGATATATGTTATATTGTGACAGGGACTAGAAGCATTCTCCCCAAAAAGAAGGGAAGGGGTGGGTGGTTTGCAACTAGAGAGGGCCATGATGTAAGTCATACCTCTTCATACAAAGTAACCTGTGTGGCTCCACCCTGACAAGGAGATGGGACAGGGATTCTCCCTACACAGCTGATGAGTGGTTGGCTTCCAAAGGAGGCAGGGATGGGGCAGCTCAAATCCTTGTCCAGAAGAAGGATTCTTGTGGCATGTGACACAAGGTGAGTGGCCCAGCCGGCCCAGAAGGTGTAGGGAGGATCCACATGGCACTTGTTGCTTTGTACAAAGAGACATGATTTCATGCCCATCTCTAGTTTCAAGCCACGGGTCAAGTCCGAGTCTTTGAAAAAAATAAACCACCTCGAGTCTGAGTCGAGTCACCACTTGAGACTTAAGTCCAACTTGACAGCAAGTCCCACAATCCAAGTCCCCATCCCTGCTCAGGAGGATGTGTTGGAGATGAAAACCTCATCAAGAAGGGCCAGCCTTAGGAGAGTATGTGTGTGTTTAGAGTGATCCATTAGAAAAAATATCTAAGAATGGATCCAGCAGAACAACAGTAGATAATGTGCTTACTATTCCAGAAGACAAGTCATGTTTTGTGAATATTAAAGATAGTGAGCTTCTGGATTTAAAAATCTGTATTAGAAAAAATGCTTTTAAAAGTTCTATATCAGGGGAAAAACCTTGCAAAAACTTGGGTAGGCAAACACACGTTTTTTTAATGCATATGGAAACACATTTTTAAAACTAAAGACTTTAGAAAATGCAGACTCATGTGAAATGGAATAGAGGGTTTTTTTTTTAAATGATAATTTTAGAAAGCAAAACAGACAGACAGAGTCAACCCTACTCTCCAGTAAATGAGGGTAAGGCTGAAGCTTTAGAAACCAAGATCTGAAAAGAGAAATATGCTGATCTGATGGCTTTGATCTCTTCCAACTCAACAGTTCTGGTCAAAACATCCTTGAATTTCCCTGCTAAGTAAACAAGAATTTTGCCCTCAGGATAGCAGCTCTGAATCAACCTCATCTGAAACCAATAGATATTCCTGAAGGAGGAGATGCAGAGACCCAAGGACTAATACCAGAATGAGTGACAGCGCAAGCTATGGTCTTACTCAACAAGACACAGTTTTGAAAAAGGAAAGCAGATTCCAACATTTCTCCATGAGCAGATGAGATCTGTCCTTTAAGGCAGTATTGCACATGCGTTTTTAAAATTAATCTTTCTCAGAAACCATTTGGGGAATGCAGGGAAAGTGGCTTTAATCTTGCAAATGAATTAAAGCCAGAAGATTTCTATTGTCTGTCATAGGGAGGGGGAATAATGAAGCGGGCAAAACCGTCTGATGGAAAATCCCACGTGTGCTTGTATATTCCAACTTGGCTTGGAAAATCTTGTGGGTTTTTTTTTACCCTTTGCTTCTTTAAAAAAAATATATTCACTAGCTCACAACTTTTTTTTCTATTTTAAAGAAAGCTTTTAAGAACGAGAGAAAAAGAGATGTCCTCTTCGGGTGTTATAATCCATGCAAGTGCAACATACAAGTACACCCTCCTACACAGGAAGATCAACAAACTGAGTGTATGAGAGTGTCTACAATCCATGGGGCACTCTATACCAAGAGGAACCCTGGCAAACTGTGGTCCTTATTCACATCAAGGTAAGGTAAAGGTTCCCCTTGACATTTAGTCCAGTTGTGTCCGACTCTATGGGGCGGTACTCATCCCCGTTTCCGAGCCACAGAGCCAGCGTTTGTCCGTAGACAGTTTCCATGGTCATGAGGCAAGCGTGACTAAACATGGAATGCTGTGATCTTCCCACCGAGGTGGTACCTATTTATCTATTTGCATTTACATGCTTTCGAACTGCTAGGTTGGCAGGAGCTGGGACAAGAGACGGGAGTTCGCTCCCTCGCGTGGATTCGATCTTACAACTTCTAACCCTGCAGTACCAAGGCTTCTGCGGTTTCACCCACAGCGCCACTCGCTCCCTCGCGTGGATTCAATCTTGCAACTTCTAACCCCACAGTACAGAGGCTTCCGCGGTTTAATCCACAGCACCACCACGTCCCAACATTCACATTGAAAGTCCTCACAAATAGCCAGGGGTCTTGCTACAGAGCAGAGATGGGCTCAAATGCAAAAAAACCAGTGGTTCATGATGGTTCATGGTTTGTAGCCACCCAAGAACCACAAACCACCCCCGAACCCTAGGAAAAACAACATGGTTCATGGTTTATTTTTCCACTTCGTGACGGGGGTGAAGAAAGAACCTACCATCTCCGTCATCTCTGACACTTGCCCACCCCCTTTCCATTGTCCTCATTGTCTCCCTACCTGGTTTCTCCTCCTCCTCTTCCTCCTCCATCATCTTCATATACAGCAACCTGCCTTTTTTTCACAGCATCCAGGCCTGCTGTTTCTGCACATGCACTTGCCTATCAGCTGATAGGTCAGCGCATGCACAGAGACAGCCAACCTGGTTCCTGAAAAGGAAGCCGGGCCACTGCATCGGAAATGACATTCACCCAAAAAGAAGTCTTGCAGAATTTGCAGTGCTAGAAGAGAACAATCCCTTTCATGTCTCACCTGCTCAGCTCCTCCCTGTACTTGGAGAGTGAATCCTTGTGATGTCACGAGGGTGGACCTTTGCCATTTCACAGAAGTGGGACAGCAAAGACTGGAAAGGAAACAAGCGCCACACACCCATATACACTTTTGTGTTCAGTTGGTGAATCATAGCATCAAGATCAGGATGGGTTGAGATGAATGTCCAGGCTTCTCATATACAACAATCACACTCTCTCCACATCCAGCAATGCAAATTCTGAGACCTGTCTGCCCATCTGGAGATCCAGAGAAACTTCGCAGTTCCCTCAGAATTCACCTGATATCCTGAGAATTCACAATCCTAGCTCCAGAATGGAAACAAAGAAAGGAAGATGGACAGAGAGGAGGAAGCAAGGGGTAGAGTTGTATTGTATGGTGCAGTATTGCCCAGCTCCCATCAGCCATGTCCATAAGTTAAGTTGTCCGGGACCAATAGGAGTTGTAGTCGAAAATGTCTGGAACAACAAGAATGGGGAAGGCTTGTGTAGTGGTTAGAGTGTAATCTTCCCTGGAGGGAGCTGCACCCGAGTTGCTTCCCGTGAGAGCATTTCAGATTCTGCATTTGGGAAGATCCTCTCGTTCATCTATCGTCAAAAGGCCTCCAAGGATGACCTCAATGTCATAATTGGTCAATGTGGGAGAAAAATGGTCCTTCCTCACTCTCAAGCTTAATTAAAATTTAAATTAAAATAACTTTAAGGAAAATCAAGTCGATGTCAGTTAAAGTAAAATATCATCACATCAGATGATGATTGAATGCATTGACTCATGCTAAGCCATTGAAGCAATGTCTATTTTAGGCTTTGCAGTTTCACACTGACTTATGATGATGACTCCCACTGCCGTGTTTCTGGCTAAAGTCCTTGCTCCCCCACCCAGCAGCTCTCCTGGCAGTGAGCGCAAGATGGGAGGGAGGCAGAATAGAGCTGCTGTTGAAGACATTAAACTCGAACTCCTGGCAGAGCAGTGGCTTGTGAAAGCAATTGGTCCATCATATGCCAAAGTTAGGAGAAGCTGAACCAAAGAGGAGCCGTTGCAGCATCTCTGGGTCTTGGCCTGTTCATTAAGTGTTGACAGATCTTTTATCCCATGCCTTCCCTTAGGGCGGGGGCCTTCAATTTAAGACCACAATATCAACTCCTCAGATAGTAACATCATGAGAATGGGAATGGTCCAGAACAGCTTCCTTAAGATGAAGTGTGTTATACGCAACAACATTTTAAAATTGGTTTCGAAAATGCCATTTCTCCTGAGCTATGGGTTCTCCTCTCTACTGGAGGGCATGGAATTATGGTTTTGAACACAGACAATGGTAACAGAGATAAAAGCATCTGAAATGTCCATTTGCCGTTGGATGCTAAGAAGCCCCGGGACTGAGAGGATCGCCAGCAAACTATTATTAAAGTGCATGACTAAAGATCAAGAAATCATAAAACACATAAGATGCAGAAAGCTAGAATACTTTGATCCTCTAATGCAGTGGTCCCCAATCTTGGGCCTCCAGATGTTCTTGGACTTCAATTCCCAGAAATCCTGGCCAGCAGAAGTGGTGGTGAAGGCTTCTGGGAGTTATAGTTCAATAACATCTGAAGGCCCAAGGTTGAGGACCACTGCTCTAATGAGAAGTGATAAGTAGAGATTGTTACATTAGATCATCCAAGGTGAAATCAATGGGAACAAAGGGCAGGAAGGAGAAGAACCGATTGGCTGAAGGACCTGGGAGACTGATTAGAATGGAACACAACATCATTATTCGAAGTGAGGGACAGCTCATTAATTAGCACTTCCCCACTATGGTTTAAACA